AAAAGGGGCAAATAAGTCCTCGAACTAACCCAAAAAGTGCAAATCACCCCTTATATAGGAGGTTATGTAAGGCCGTCGCCATTTGGGGCGGTTCCCGGTGGCATTTTTTGATGAAATTTTTTGAACATCTTGTTCATTAAGTCTAGTTTATCCATACCAAATTTCAGCTAAAAATAAAACCGGGAAGGCAGTCAAATGATTTTTTGAAATATACTGCGCTGTTTAACTGCATAGTTATCTTCAAAAACTCATTTGACTGCCTTCCTGGTTGAATTTTTATCTGAAATTTGGTATGGGTAAACTAGACTTAATGAAGAATATGCTCAAAAAATGTCATCCAAAAATTCCACCGGGAACCTCCCCAAATGACGAAGGCCGGACAGAGTCTCCTATAAAAGGGGTGATTTGCACTTTTTATCTTCTTCTTTTTGAATTGAAATGACTGATGTTCAGCAAAAATTTCACACGGGTTGTGAAAATGATTACTTCGAAACTACCCCTTTGTTATTAAGCTCTCGTGGTCGCAACAATTTGGCTACATCTCTTTGTTGGGAGTTGTTATCTCATCTTATTCTTATTAGTTATTATTTATTCTTATTTTATACTCCCTCCGTCCAAATTTGTAATATACTTTACTGTTTACGATGTTTGACCGACGACAAAACAAATTGATTCCTGTCAACACTCAAATTAGTTTTTAAAAATAAAATTTACATATTTAGATACTACATTAAAACCGCTACAAAGCCTGCAAAAAATAATTCAAATTTCATAAAATTTTGATATATAAAGTAAAAGATTAAAAATGATTTATGTTAACCAAGTGAATACGAAATGTACCTTACAAATTGGGACTGAGGGAGTATAATCAGATTAAATCAAAAATATTTAGGTATGATCAGATTAGATGAAAATTTTCAGATCTGAACACATCGGATAGATTTAGACCATAAGATCCTGTCATTTTTTTCCTATACATAAAAACATGTAGCTAATGGGAAAGTGACCTTCTACTAAAATTAAAAAGAAAAACTAACAAAACAAGTTTTATACTGCTCTATTATCCAACACAATTTGTTTTCTTTGAAGATCATATATGATAGAGTTTATGAACTTGGGCACCTTGTTTCACGACTATTGAGTTTGGACAACGGCCCACGTATGTCAAGTAGATAGTATTTATATCATCTCTATTTCCATACTTCACTTTAGTTAATTTATAATCCGGTTGCTAAATGTTAATTAATATTTTACTTTTGTTCTGAATCAAGTAAGTATTTTGTTCCGAAAGCAGTTAAATACGATAAAGGCCCGTCAAATCGAAATGAGGCCATTTTTTAATCTTAGACTATAGTTTTACGTTTTGCTTTACATGTAAATATGTAATATGACTTCATTATGTATTGATGGTTATACTATGATAAATGTTTGTTCTGTATCTTCTCATTTCATTCAAACTTTATTTCACTTTTTCTCTTTTTGCATGATGTTTCAATTTCATTCATATAATATTGGGCATTTACTCAAACGTGCAATGCACGTATAAAAAACTAGTATAATGATAGGAACTGTCAATATTATGTTTTTTCTATACAAGATGGCAGAATTATGCTTTGATGTTGTCAATAATTTTTTTTGCATCAACATGGCATTTTCATAACCGGGGGTGATGGCGCCAGCAGTGGTGTGGGAAGTGACAGTGGTGGCGCTGCGCTGGAAGTGGCAGCGATGGTGCCGGAAGTGGTGGCGCCGGAAGTATTGGCAGCATTTGGAGTGCTGGAGGAGGCTGTGGAACCTAGGGTTTTAGATAGCTTATTTATTTTTACATTTTTATTTTTAAATAGATTTAGAAATTCAGTAAGGGTAATTTTGTAAAGTTGATACATTTTTAGTCCTATGAGACATGGAAGTCCTATTTGTCCATTTCTTCATAGTTTTAGTCCTATTTAGGAAATTAACTCATTTTTCAATCATGATAGTAATGACTCCTATTTCGGGAATAAAAACTGAGCACTCCTATACTTGCATTCCAGACCGCTTTTACTCCAATTTAGGGAAATTTCACTTTTAAAAAAGTAAATGTTTATATATAGTACTACCTCCGTCCTGGTAGACTTTGCCAAGTGCAAGTTAGGTGAGAAATAAAAATAGTAAAAATTGTGTGGTTGAAATTTGTGCAGAGGAGAGAGAAATGTACAGAACCACAAATTAGTTGCTTTAATAGGAAAGTAGCAATGTTTTTTGGGACAAGTAAAAAAGGAAATTTGGCAAAGTCCAATGGGACGGATGGAGTATTTTCTTAAAAAATAACTTTTGTGTGTAATGGAAAAGGTACAAAAGGTGCTTAAATGACCCAACCGACTGCCTTTAACTTTAAAGTACTTAGAGGCTATTTGGCAACACTGTTTTCGGCTTATCAGGCTTATCAGACAATTTTTTCACCAAACACGTAATTTTTGCTTTCGCGCGTTGAATTGTGTAATAAGCAGGAAAAGTAAGGTTGAAGTTACTTTTCTGACTGTATTGGCTGAAGTTACTGTAGATGACCATTTTAGCTATTTTTACATATAATTTTTTCTTTATTTTATTAATAAAATATATTTTAAAAATAATTTTTTCTTAAATCAACAGAAAAATCAACCAATGAAGCCACTTCATCCAGAACTTCATAAATTTCAGCAGAATTAGCCAAATCAGCCGATTTTCGTGCTACCAAACGGGCTCTTAATTTAATCATAAATTGTCACTTGAAAATCTCAATTACAATTACAACAATTTCTAAGTAAAAAAATTAAAATCACTTTTTAAGCTTATGCACACCAAGAAATCAAGGCAAGAATATGAAAGTCACAGGCTAAAAATGTTTTTTTCGTTTTTAGAAGGTTTCCCGCCGGAGCATGCCCTATAGACGATATTCTCACCAATTCCTTCACACGCACCATATTATCAACTTGAAGGGTGTTTGGAATTGATTTTGTTTATGCTTCTTTTTAAAAGTAAAAGCAGAATCAGAATTGTGTAGTCTCCTTCAACTTCTAAACAATTGCTTCTAAGAGCAATTTGGGGCACAAGAAGTATTTCACCACTTGCATTCAAACACTTCGGTATCTATTTCTATTCCCAGAAGAAGGAGAAATAGTTTCAAGAAGCAGATCCAAGTACCACTCATTATAGCACATCTTATGATTTTCTTCTTAGTAAACCATTATACCAAAGCATAAACTAAAGCCATGGCCAACTAGTAAAGCTTCCAATTCAATAGGCCATATGCTGCAACCAGGGGCGGCCCTAGGGGGTGCAAGTGGGGCGGGCGCCCTAGTCCCAAAAAATATGGGTAAAAAATAGGCTCAAGTTTAATTCTTTGTAACAGATGTGAGTAGGCTGATTTTTCGGCCCTAAAGTAACAATTTTTCAAGTGGAATTTGTTGAAGTTCTTCTGAATGGATTTTTTTAGCGGAACTTATGATCATGTTTTCTATGAAGTTTAGAGTATGTGAGAAAAATATCAGTTTAAAGTTTAATTTAGAACTTACCTAAATAAATTATTGAAAACACTGCTTTTCATATATATTTTGGCGCATTGCGTTTCAAAAATTTATTTAACTGACTTCACGATTGCATTTTAAGCTGAAATTTTATGGACATAATCTAGACGTGATGAAAAACATTCTCTTAAAATTTCATAAAGAAATTCCACTCGAAAGCATATTAGTCTGATATGATTATTTGATTAGTTTATTAATTGTTTCCATTCATGGTTGTTTGATTTCCTAATTGTTAATTGTTTTCTATTGAGTGTTGGTGTTATAACTTATTGATTTTGTTAGACAAACATTTTCAACTGTGATAAAATTTATAAACTTAATTAATTTCAAAGTGTATAAAAAGGATTGAATCTGAATACGATAAATACAAAAGAATCCAAGATTAGAGAAAGTGGCGATAAGTAAAAAAAGAGCTCAATGGAAAAGTTTGTTTGTGTAAAGAAGTCAAATTCTGAATGTTCTTCTCAAGATGAGAACACATAGTCAGATTCTAAATGTCTTGAAATCTTATTATTATAATTATTATGCATATCATTTAAGATAGAAAAGAGTTCTACAATTCCTTTTTTGTAACATTAGGCTCATTTTAATTTTCCGCCCCTAGACCTTCGAACAACGTCGCCCCTGACTGCAACCTCTGTTTTTTTATTCTTTTCTTTATTTGGCTGGTACATCAAAATTATAGTTGATGGCGCTCTTTTACAAATTACAACCAATAAAAAACTTTTTCGTGTTTCATTTCAAAAAATGAATACCATGAAAATTTCCGTATATTATATCCTTTCCCGGTGAACTTTTCCAACTTCAAATTAGGTGAAAAAAATAAAAAAGAATATTAGAACCAAAAATTAGTTGTTTTAATGGCAAAGCAATAAAGTTTTTTTACACAATAGAAAAAAAAAAATGGGAAAAGGTGCAAATAGGCTCATGTACTAACCAAAAAAGGTCAAATAAGCCCTTATTTAGGAGGCTCTGTCCGGACGTCACCATTTGGGGTGGTTTCCGGTGAAATTTTTTGATGAAATTTTTTGAGCATCGTATTCATGAAGTCTAGTTTAGTCATACCAAATTTCAACTAAAACTTCAATCGGGAAGACATTCAAATGAATTCTTAAAAATAACTGCACTTTTAACTGCGCAGTTATCTTCAAGAATTCATTTGAATGTCTTCCCGATTGAAGTTTTAGCTAAAATTTGGTATGAGTAAACTAGACTTCATGAATACGATGCTCAAAAAATTTCATCAAACAATTCCACTGGGAACTACCCCAAATGGTGACGTCCGGACAGAGCCTCCTAAATAAGGGCTTATTTGACCTTTTTTTGTTAGTACATGACCTTATTAACCTTATTTGCACATTTTCCCAAAAAAAATTGGAAGTATAATATTGCATCATACGGATTACGGAGTATTTGAGATTTGAAGTTATGTTTAATTTTTAAGGAAAAGTACATGACATTGTAAGAATCATGATATTCTAGATCGACCGTACAACAATAAACATCTTTATTCTTTGGGTTCATTTACAATCGCTGCCAGTGCCCTGTACCCCCAGAATCGGTGGGTGGAATACCATGCAGCAAAACAATGTTCGAGAAGCAAAAAAATCAAAAAGACAGAAACATGTGAATCTTTCCTACCCATTCTTCTGTTATGTTATCATAATAACATGTCCTACTGATTAATTAATAATCACACTTCTTTACATACAAATCTCAGAAACCATACAAACCAAACGCCCCTCTCGTCAAGCTTGCACGGCCTGCACCGGTGCATCAGCAATCATCACTGGCTCAGCGTGAACCGGCGGCTTCCCGTGTTGCTTAGCCTGATGCTGGGACCAGTATGAGTGGGCAGCCAACACCCGGTCCAGAAGCTCTTGCGGGACTGGCTCACCTCTCCTTTGTTGTGGGGCAATGCTTGCTGTGTGAACTAATGTTTTCCACTTATCCTGCGCACATTAATCAGACAAACTCCCCCACATTATCAACATGCATGCCATGACTTTTAATGTTTTCCTAACATGTAGTACCATTATTATAAATACTATTAACTATTATAGGAAATGTCATTAATAAAAAGCCAAGATTATTGGAAACCCAGACCCTACACTCACATGGACATGTCAAGCTTTAATCATTGTTAGTTTATTAGCTTTATATAATGGCGAAACCACGCCCCCCGCCCCACACGAGTCAGAGTCGGTTATGTCGGTTTTAAGATCTGAAAGATGAAAAACCGCAACCAGACAGCAGTGGTACTCGTTCGTGGTTGGTTCAGTCCGTTTTCAAACCGGCCCAGCCATGGTTGGTTTTGATCGGTTCGTTTAGAGTTGGTTTGTGGACCCGCATTGGTTTTTCCTTTTTTGATAGCATGGCCCACTAAAAATAATGTGATGTATGTTGGGATAGAAGATCCTCATATCATCCACCCTTGCCTTAGGGGTGGAAGGATTTGGGCCCCAGTCCAGCAAACTAATCATATGGGTTATAATAGTAGTTGAGACAACTCATGCAATCCTGGTATGTCTTCCTTCCTATATACAATCATTGATAGCTGCCACAGTATATCACAAACTCTAATGTGATAATAACTGTATCATAATAAAAAAAAGTACTATTTGAGCCTATAACATGTTGTTGACATCTTTTAAGTTAAAGATGTCATAGAGGAATTACTTCAACCTTGAAACTACTCTCTATAAGCAAAAAAACCGACAAATTAGATATCGTACCTTTAGGTCGACATATGTTCTGTGATCTGCATTGTCAAACGCACGGATTTTAACATCACGCCACCTGCAAAATCACATTAACTATTAGTGCATATGCTTAACTGGTGTTCTGAAGAAATGCTATGGATTTTTAACTTCTGCTCCAACAATTATTAAGTACTTTGCACTTTCAGTGCACAACTATATAATTATTGGCACTTCCAAGTTCAAATCCTTTCCATTCACTTATTCAGGCAAAGTCAACAAGAAATTGTGCATAAATTGGTCTAGGTTTTCGAGAACCGAAATTGAGAACGACTGAATGATAAATTTTCTAAAAAAAGTCAAATGACAACTTGAGCTCTTTTGAATTTTCATACCTTCCAGTTCCGAGTTGCTCTACTGCTTCAACCAACGCTTCGACTTCAGAAACAGAGAAGGGTCTTCTTGCCCTACGTTGTGAAAGTTCAGAACGCCTACTACTCTTATGGTTCACTGGAACCGCCGCAAGCACTTCTCCATCCATTGGCTGAACTGCAACCAGAGCCCTTGACTCTGGACAAGCCCCACTCATTGATACACCAACAGGACCATCCAATAATAACTGAACGGGCTCAGGGTTTGTTTCAGCATGTGTGTCCAACTTAAACTCTGGAGAAGGGTTGAGTGGATTTGCTGAAAGTGCCAAATCCAAATTTGGGCCGCCTTGTATCCTAGATATCAAAAATTATGAATTTAAGTGTGTTAGCAATTGAAAGTAATGTTCAATTAAACATACAGTTATTACCCAATTTAGTTCCTTGGGCATCAACTATACTTTCTCAGTTCTATTTAGTTGTAGCAGTTTGACTTGTGGGCAAAAAAAAATCAACAAATAAAAATAAGGAAAACTTGATATTTTTGAAAACAAAAATTGAGACTTTTATATGATAAAATTTCTTTTTATATTTCATACAAAATATAGTGAAACTAAGACATGTGAATAATGTCAAAGTCAAACTATTTCAATTAATATAGACCAATACTCACTTTTGTTTCATTTGACTAAAGTTGGACCCAACTAAGAAATTTGGACCACGTAGCCATAATTCATATCTGGTTCTCACTAAATTTGGAACCAAATCCACTCAAGTTAGCTCTCAAGTCTCAACTGCTAAATTTGAGAACAATTCAATCCTCATACATAATGTAACAAACAAGAAGGGTATATTTCTCAGTTTACTAAATCTTAAACAATATTTGGCCCTCAACTATGTAATATTAACCCAATTCTGGCCCTCAACGCACAAAAAATAGCTTTCCTTTTTAGAGCGGAAATTGTGTAAGGACTAAATTATGTCCAACCTACTTAGTCTCGGACCAAATTGAGTCCTAAAGAAAGCGGAGGACCAATTGACTATAGTAGTGCACAGTTAAGGAATTAACACTTCAAAGTTCAAAGCATACTAATCCAAATTACCCGTTGGATAGTTCTGGTCCTGCAACAGCAAGAAATGGGGCAGGATGATCCTTGGGAGATGAGGAAGAAACTTGGCTCATACTCGGCTCTAACGTGAAACCCAAAGCATCAAGGTCACTGTTTTGAGAAATGCCAGCTTGCTGTAGGGTCCTGCCATCATCTCTTACTTTCTTCCCATGAAGAACCACCCCAACCCGTAAACTGCCATTGAGTATAGTTGTTACAGCCTCCATCACTGTTTTCTGAAGAAAAAATATCATCCACATTCAAACTCTGAGCAAACAAAGAAATGTTTTACAGCAACATGTACAATTTTAAATATCAAATAAGTAGGGAAAATCATTCTTTGGTCCCTAAGTTTTCCTTGATTTTGCAATGCAGTCTATTGTCAAATTGGTACAATTCAGTCCTTCAATCATTTAAAAAATGAGCGCTTGAGCCCCTACCACCCTTAGGTTTCATCTTCTTACAGTGTCACTGAATTGCTCCTAATTGATATGTTCCACAATGCATGGAAATAAAATGAACATTTGGGGGGCCAAACAGCAAGTTTCCCCTACAGAAAAAGAATTGCATCTACACTATCCATAAAAACATTTTGTTCTTGAAGTTCAACGAGAGCAGAACTTTATATACCTTTAATGAACCGACAGTTGCATTTTCAGGAACCTCGATATAGAGCTCTGGCACCCTAAATGACTTGATGCTAAATTTTACTGAAACACAAAGTCAAAAAATAAAATAAATTAAACCATACACATCAACTAATTGGAAAATGATGAATAACAAATCTTACCATTTGGATCCTTATAATTTTGAAGACTTTTAACCGAAGAAGAGGTCCCACTTCCTGCAAAATTAAGTTTAAATATAATCACTCAGCATGACTGCTTACAACCAGATAACTACACCAGCAAGAAAACATTGCAACTGAAAGTACACGGGATGGACCTTTGTGGGTGATCACGGCTGATCCAAAATCATCTCCACCACTGATTTGCTTCGCAGGCAAATTAGAAACGCTCTCACTACTGACCTCTTGGTCGTAGGTAATAGCAAAGCTACGGCTACCCAATTTCCTTCTCTTTGGAGAATATTCAGCAAGACACCTTTCTTGAGCAAAAGTTCTTTTCCTATTACCATACGGCACCTTCACCGCCTTGTCTAAATCACCAAATACATTTTTTCAGAAAGGAACCCAGATCAAACAAAACAAGTAAAGGATAGTAGGGTAACACGCATTTTAAGCAATTTCAACCCTCTAAGGGAAAAATCTTATCATTCTTTTTTAAGCTTTATTATTTTCTCAAAATGTACTCTTACAAAACCTTCGTGTCAATATCTAGTGTTAGGACTTGACTTTTCTTATGTGGTTTAATATTTCAGACTTGTTTTATTTGTGATCGTTATGCTTTTACTGTGTTGTGTAAAATCTCAGTTTTATCTTATTTGGGTTTATAAATATTTATCACATTGTATGTGTTTTCAAAAACTTTAGAACCACGTACCCAGGTAGCACAGTTTTAACCTAGTACTTTCATAATGTAGCCAGAATGTTCTGTTCAAATTGAGAATCCGGTGAGCGGGTGTGAAGTACAAATGTGTTAAATAATAGGAGAGAGGTATATCCTTACGATTAAAAATTAGAAAATTAACATTTTTAAAAGTGCACTTTTTTCTTTTCAAATTTAAATTTTTTAAAAAGGCACTTTTTGCTTTTTTAATCTAACAAAATATATTCATGTTTTTCACCTATTTAACAAGGAAGCCATCAAGGAAGTAGACAATACAAGTGCAAAACCTATAGGAAGCATACAATGACTAGAACAGCAAAAAACGGCCCACTTACATCGGTCAGATAATTCACATTCCTTCAGCCTGGGAGTAACCTGCCAGCGCCTAGATGAAGTCTGCATCTTCCTTGTTTTTCTACAACCAATCCGGGCCCGTTGTCTTAAGGCCCTTATCTTGTTGGTCCCACTTCGTTTATAGCACCTAAACGAATTTTCGTCATCATCTCTAATACCTAACTTTACATCACTCCTACGCTTTGCATAAGAAACACTAGGAACACTGTCCCTGTACAAGGGCATCTTTACACTATAATCTGAGTTATTTAGGGTTTTATTATTATTAGTAGTTGGAGTTATAGTAGTCAAACAATGGTTTATAGGATCCTTTACAGTGCAAGTGCTAGTTACGGTTATGTTTTCCGTTGGGCTGTCAATATTAACACCTTCCACTTCACATTTGACAATTCCATCAGTTGGGCTCTTAAATTTTATGCAAGAAACTTTTTCTGACATGGGAATGTTTTCTGAATGTGAAGACCGGACACTTCCCATCGGTATGTTCTTGATTTTCTGCTCTTGGAATTCAGCTTTGAGGGGTGAAATTGCACTTTCCACACAACTTCCTTGATCAAGGCACTCTGACTTCAAAACTTTGTGGTCTGGTTGAAGCCCAGAAAATACTAGTGAAAGAAAATAAGAAGAGAAACATATAGAATAATTAGAATGAAAAAAAATGTAGATGGAAATGCAAAAAAACTCAGTACATTTACTTCAGATATTTGTTTATACTCATTTTGCTTATCTATGTATATTGTATAAACATAAAGAAATCTACGTGTATTTTTTTAGTTCAATAAAAAAATTACAATTTATTTTCCTTAGCATTGTCCGAGGTAAAACCAAAACTAAGAAGATTGCTTTCTTTAGCCTATTTCGCTAACATTCTCAGAGATCCAAACATACCCTTATGGTCTTTATAATTTTCCGGTTTGGTTTGCATTGCAGGTCCTTCTTTTCCTTCAGTTGCATTACTGGAAGCAGAGCTTTCACTCTCCAGTAAGAGTTTGCCAGCAACAGCAGCCAACAATTCAAATGCACAGATTTGGTTATCTTCCTCACTTGGGATATACCTCCTCTGAATCACAATAAAATTTCCCATTAATATTTAGGAAATTGTATAACCACTTGAAAATTTAAGGGAAACTCGGAAGGAAAGAAAACCAGCTCAAACTCAAAAAATATTTTTTTATATATATGTTCACTAATTTTAGTTTTATAATTGCACAGAGTATTACATATATAAATAAAGAATGAAAATTTTAAATTTAAAAAGTATTAGTGATATCTGATATTCCTTTTACTACCTACCATTTTATGAACTCCAAATATGAACTAAGGGTTTGATTGAATACGGATAATGCTTCAAAAAAACAGAGGGGGGAAATAAATGGGAAATTATGAAGGAATTTTATGCGGGAAGAGGGCCGCAATTCATAATCAATACATGGGTTTTTTATGTTTCTTCAAACTCATTTTAATTATATTTTTGTACGGTTAATAGATTATGAAATATAAATTATTTAGCATTTTAAAGTGTTTTAATCAAATTTGATTTTCCTTTATATTTTCACAAAAAAAGGCATCTAAAAGATGCAGAGGTTAAATAGCTTACCCAAAAAATATTGTAATCTCATAGACGTATAGATTTATTAATAGATATACTGTAATAAATTAATAATCATACTTACTCTAGATGATCTAGGAGCGCGAGGTACAACAGGAAACCGGAACCCATTTGATCCATACGCCAATCTCTTCTTCATCACCATTACAGAAACACCATAACACTACCAAGATGATCACTACAGTAAATCTGCAAAAAAAAATCCAAGACACTGGATTAATTGAAGATCGTTGCTGAAATGATCTATGCCAAGCTCCACTTGGATCCCTCTTCTTTTAGCAGCATTGGTTAAAATAGATCCCAACCATAAAAGAAATTTCTGATATGAAAATAAACATGAAATATTTGGTCAAAGGTGGAAGCAAAGAATAACAAAAAAACATTAAATGCTTTTCTACATTAAATTTTTTTTACAACACAACCATAAGGTAACCGAATATTCTTGAAGAAATTCCAAAAGCATCACCTCGAACAAAAGTGTGCAAGCAAGACAACAAAATAGAATCATAGACAGCCAAGAAAACATTTTTTTTCCTAAACCATGCAAAGAGAAGCTAAGATCTTAGCAAACCCGAACATAAACCTCAAATTTAAACAGAAGGGATCAGATCGGACTTCCAGTAGCCAAGAACGGAAAAATCAAAGTTTGCAAAAAAGATCGAATTTTGCTCCATAAACACCCCCCAAAACCAAGCTGGATCAGAGTTTTAGCATTCAAGAAAAGGACCCAAAATGTAATTTTCTCTAAACGGAATCTGATCCGAAATTCTAACCCGATTATTCCACGGTTACAAGCGTAGAACTTACGGAACGGACTTTTACACGCAACCCAAACCAAGAACAAAAACCCCAACTTAGCAACTCCGATCAGATCTCAGGATCTGATCCACCCGAATTCTACCTAAACCCCACCTTCCAAAACGCAGATCGCATCCATGAAAGCTCTGAGGTAAAAAAGAAAAAACAAAAAACTCAAACAAAAAAACTATAAAAACAGAATTACCTTGTGAGAAAAAAATTGTTAGTTTTTCCTGCACAGGCTGTTGGAATGAGCAATTAGAGAACAACCCAAACAAGAAATGCTTCAATTTTGCAAAAAGATTTTCTTTTCGGGCTTGAAATGAAAATGGTTTATAAGTTTCCCACGTCAAATGAACTAAAAACCTCTGGGTTTGGAAAAACCAGCCAAAGGTGAAAAAACAGCGCTAAAACCCCTTTCTCTCTCCAAAATCTCTCTCTTCTCTTCCCACTCACACGCGTACGATAATGGTGGGATCGATGGCGGACGGATTTATACAAAGAAGACTCCGTGGAACGCAGTTTGGTTTTCGCAATTTGGGATAATTTCAGTTGGACCCCAAAAGTTCTCATAGATGTCGACTACGTAAACTGATTTTCAAGAGTTGTTCTTTCTAGTTGGGAGGGTAATTTCAGTTGGACCCCACATTTTGCAATAATTACCTTCGGTTCCGAATCATGAGAAGAGTTGTTTGTGTTTAAGAAGGGTGGCCACAAAATACAAACGAAAATCTCTATTTTTGTATGAGTTGAGCCATAAATGCAAACACGATGAAAATTAATGAGATTCTACTTTTATCCCCTAAATTTGATACACAAAGAAGTGGTGTGATTATAAGGAAAATTGAGTTTATGCGATTGATATTACATTTATGGATATTGCATTGAAAAAATAAACATAAAACATGAATAATTTATACGGACTAATATATAAGAAGTACCAATTTTGACATTTTGGTGAGGTGAGGATTTTAGTGGAATGAATGAAAATGGAAAATAAGACCATGTAAAGGACAGAAGTAGTAGTTGGGTAAAATTGCTTAAAAGTTAGGTGATGGATCGCCAACCCTGGGGTAGTTGGAATCCGGAAATGTAGATGGAGAAGAAAAGTGCAAGCGAGATCGAGTACAAATTTTAGCAGAGTAACAGCAAGTATGCATAGAGAAAATTGGATCTCTTCCGACAAGTTGGAAGGTGATATTTATACTAGGAGAGAAAATGTTCGACCAACAAGTAAAAAGATGGTATTCTATTGTGGTGGAGACACGTGTCACACCTGTCTCACAGAACGAACAAACTAGTCTAAGGATATGGTGACACGCGTAAAGGTGATTGGAGGATAATTGGGACAGCTGGCTGATTGGAACTGTGCATAACATAATTGTACCAGAACACACATGTATGTCATGTGGGTGTTATTCGAAATATTCTTCACCATTATCCGCATTGAGTGACGTGGCAACTTCATGCAGTGTTGGTGACGTGGCGCCATGCTTGATTAGTGAGGCCCCGAGCTCCGTGAGGTCAGAGCTCGGGTACAAGGAGCTCATATTTGGGGAATTCATTCCTGGTCTTCAGTTAGTCCGGTGGTGGTTATTTCTTCGTTCTTGTTGACTCCTGTTGACCTCGTGTTCGTGTCTTAGGCCGGATCTGGTACCGACCTCGATGTGCACGAGGTCGGCCACGTATTTCACCTTATCTGGGTGATCTATGAGCTCGATGTTTGCGCCAACCTTGGTGGGTCAAGGTCGGCCTCGGTTGAGGTTCCATACTTTGTCAATTTGTTGTTTTGCGTTGTGACCCGACCTCGTATGTCGAGGTCGGCCTCGGCTGGAACTTCACACTTGTGTTGATATAATTGGAAGTCTTTATCCATTGAATACCATACCACTTGGATATATGGGAATATACTCCATCATTAGGTGTGAATCATCTCCCAATAGTGAATCTAGAGTGTAGCTACTATATAACCACAGACCCATGATCTTTAGGACCAATAAATAAGAAAAATCCATAATTAATTGTTTTATAAGTTGAAAATGTATAAGTCACCATCATTCATTGTTTAAAAATGACTCACTTCTATAAAATTGTAGTTTACGCAAAAAAAAAAAAAAAAAAAAAAAAAAAAAAACTAAATACAAACAGAATGTCGAAATAATAACTCATAAAATCTCATTACTTTGATTCAGAATGTTTAAGCAACTAATACAATGGCATTTTATGTGCCCAAAAAGACAAATTCAATCATGGTAAAAGTGACTCGCTTTAGATTTTCAGGAATATGTTGAGTTATTAAGGCATTATATACTAAAATCCTCTCATTTAATATATGTAGTAGTTAATTAAGTTCTATTAAATAGTTTTTTTATTTATAACATAAAAAGTGACAAGTTCTAATATAATACTCATGTAAATTGTACTCCGTAACTAAAATCATCTTCATGAAAATTCAAGTTTTTCATGTTTGCTTCAATTCATTTCTTATATTGTTTCTAAGTTGTATTACACTCTTACATACACCTCACATTAGGGTGTAACAATAGAAAAAATTTATAAAAATAATTGTACAGAGTTATATTCTTTTTTACATAAAATTATTTGTATATTATTACACTTTGTGATATTAAATAGTTTTTGTGACAAAAATCATGAACAAACTGATATGCGAATGAATTGGAGAAGAATTTTCTTTATTTTCATGTGTTCAATTCAATCGTCCGGGAAGGAGAGACTTCCCAACAATATTTACCAGTAACTGTAAACCAAAAGGAAGGAAAGTATATGGTTACAATTTATAAGAGAATATTACCCGAAATAGGATTGTCATGTTTTTATTCCCAAAATAGGACTAATTACTGCCATGTTTTGGCAGTACCAGACTTCAAACATGGTAGTATTTTCCAAACTTGATTAGTCCTATTTTGGGAATAAAAAACATGGCAACCCTATTTTGAATTTTTCAAACTGTTTTAGTCCTATTTCGTGAACTTTCCCAATTTAGAAATTAAAGAATATATGTGAAAAAAAGAATCCAAATAATAATAGTTCGCACCCCCCCCCCCCCTTCAAGTTGAAGTGGAAGGGTTCAGAATGTCCAACTTGTGTAATAGAAATTGAAAATTTTGCGCTCCCAGAGGTTTGGTAAAAGTGTCAGCAAGCTGTATTTCTGAAGATATATAATGCGCATAAATGAATCCCTATTGAATAAGATCCCGAATGAAGTGACAGTCAAACTCAATGTGCTTCATCCTTTCATGAAAAAAGGGATTGGAAACAATAAGAAGAGCAGCCTTGTTGTCACAAAATACTTGTCTTGGACAAGAGAAAGAAATACCAAAAGACTGAAGCAGGCTACGTGGAAATACCATAAGAGTTCACATCCTAGAGCAGCCAAGGAACGAATTGAATTCTACTTAGGCAGAGGAGCGAGACATTGTAGGCCATTTCTTTGTTTTCCAGGACATGTGGGAATCTCCTAGAAAAACTAGATAATCGATCAAAGAACGTTGATTCAAAGGACATGGCAAGATGTTGCCTTTCAAATAACGAAGAACATGAATCACTGCATCCCAATGATCTATTGTACAATGTTGCATATAGTGAGTAAGCACATGAATAGAATAGCTATGTTCTGGGCGCGTTAATGTTAAATAAATTAATTTGCCAATTAAACGTCAACATTGATCCCCGGATAGATGAGGCAGTGGATGAGGCCAATTTTTTTTGTTGCATGAGAAAAAGGAAGGTCGTGCACCAGATAGACCAAGCTCAGAGAGAATATCGCGCATATATTTACGCTTACAGAGAAAAAGACCAGTGGGGTTATGGGCTAATTCTATCCCTAAGAAATATTTTAGACAACCGGGATCCTTAATGTGAAAACACTTAGCTAGATAAGTTTTCAGATTGGTCATAAAGAGCGAGTTGGGATCAGCAATGAGTAAGTCATCCACATAAACAAGAATACATAAAAAAAAAATCAGAACCCGACAGCGTAGTAAAGAGAGAATATTCCGCATAAGAACATTGAAAGCCATATTCAGGGGGGAAGGCATTTGACTTGGTACACCAACATCGCGGAGTCTATCAAAGACCATAAAGAGACCGATGTAGACGACATACTTTCTTATGATGAGAGCGAGAAAACCCAAGAGGATGATAAATATATATACCTCCTTATCAAGAGACCCATGAAGAAATGCATTATCCACATCCATTTGGTGAAGATCCTATCCCTTAGATGTAGCAATAAAGAGTAAAACATGAACATGAGTCATCTTGGCAAATGGGGAAAACGTCTCATAATAATCAATTCCCAATTTGACGATTCACACACACAACCAAACGAGTCTTAGCTTGAAGCATTCAATGGATCTGGAGCTATGATACTTAATTTTATAGACTCATTTACAATGGATAAGCTTCTTGTGAGGAGGTAAGTCAACCAAGGTTCACGTGCCATTTTTTTCAATCTTAACTTGCATAGCTTTACGCCAATGAGGTCCTTAAACAATTTCATGAAAGGTAGATGATTCTTTCTCATGAGCAATAGCCGCAAGAAAAGCTTTGTGGCGAACTAAGAATTTATCACAAGTTACAAACACAAGAATGGGATAAGGACTACCTAAAGAAACCGAAGCATGCAAAAGGGAAGTCGGGGGGGTCTATTAATTTAAAGAATTTAGTAGTACTGCTCATACCAACACAGTGCATCTCTCTGTAAGAGAGCTCATCAGGTCAAATCTCCAAGTTAAGCGTGCTTGCACAAGAGTAGTCTTTGGGATTGGTGACCCCTGAGAAGTTTCTCACGGCGCAAGAGTGGGGACAAAGTGCGTAGTAAAGGCTTGTGTTGGTTTGTGAGGAGAGTACTAGAGGTCTGGAGAGTATATTGGAGTAACTACCCCGAGTACCGCAAGGTTAGGGTGTTACAAGTGGTACTAAAGCAATCATGCGACAATGTGTTGATCGGTTGGATATCGGGCGAGCACTTAGCAAGGGAGGATTATGGGGCTTGATTGAGATTGCATTGGCTTATAGGCACAACAAGCACGTTATGAACCTAAGTGGGGGTGATTGTAATACTTGAGATTAATTTAAAGAAATTAATAGTACTACACATACCAACATGGTGCATCTTTTAAGGGAGCTCATTTACTAAGAACTCCAATTTAGGCGTGCATGCACGAGAATAGTCTTGGGATGGGTGACTCCTTGGAAAGTTTCTCAGGGCACTCACAAGTGGGGACAAAGTTTGTGCATGGTAAATGCTTGTGTTGATTTGTGAGGACAGTACTAAAGGTCTGAATGGCATTCAGGAGTAACTACCTCGCACCCCGCGGGGTCAGGGTGTTACAGTATATTTGTGTGGCATTATTTTGGACATAATCCTTTAATCTGGGGTAGAGAATTTTTCTTCGATGCCCGCAACCAAGTGAAGATTTCGGTACCACTTGAGAAGGATCACACACGGCAGGAGATAGGTTGGCGAAAAACTAGTGGCGGGTGGTGTGGTCACTAGCTGATCTGACAAATCTGGTCCTTGATCAACATCAGTGGAAGAAATGCC